CTAGGTAGATGTATGCCAGGCGCGTCGCAGCGTAACAGTGTTTCGTGAGATATCGCGAAGCCTGTTACGCGAGACGTGGTCTGGCGTACATCTGCCTAGTATCATAAAAAGACAGATCGAATTCGAAGATGAGCATTCTAGCTTAAAAATTGACTTTTAAAAAAATCAAAAACAAAAGGTTGCAAAATATTTATTTTTTTCAAATATTTTTTTATGGGCCCTTAAGAGGTAACTCGTGAAAGTAGAGTCCTTTGGACCAAAATTTCGTCAGTTTTGCTCTATCTTGTACCGTTTAGGCGCTATGGCTCATTTCTTGGCGAAAACAAGGTGAGAAAGACAAAATGGTCTAGTAAATCGTAACAAAGGCCTCATGGCACAGAACTGAAAAGGGAACAAAACTTAAACCACACATAAAGGGTCGAACCACACCCTCTTTTGGGCTTAAGGGTCCCTAGATTATCTAGTATCACTAAGACGTTGATTTTTACATAACAATCTGTCAAAATTCGAACTTTTTATGAAAACCGTTACCAAACAGCAGAAGTTTCTTATCCATGATTTTAGAGTAATAAGACCCCTACAAATGGTTTTAGTGTGTGAAATTTTGGGCCCGGAAGGCCCTGTTCCTCTATACCCTCCCATCTGCTCGTCCAGGGTGTCAGCGCCGCAGGCCTAGCTATATGTGCGCCAGGCGCGTCGCAGCGTAACAGTGTTTCGTGAGATATCGCGAAGCCTGTTACGCGAGACGTGGTCTGGCGTACTTATAGCTAGTAATAAACTGGTCAATAGCTGGTTTGTTTCAGTTCATAGGGTTGCGACGGCTGGTAATGTTACCGCTAACGTTACCGGAAAAATTGTTAATTTACGGTAATTTACCAAATGCTCGGTAACGTGGAAAAAAACGGTAATGATGACACTTCAAAATGAGTCCAAAACTCACTTTCCAGAAGCAAAAAACACATTTGGAGTAGTAAATATGACATTTTATTACATTTTAAGTCACTTTCTGAAGACCTGTTAGCAAATGTGTCATTTTTCTAAAGTTTCAAAGGCATAGCTTTAGATAACGAATTTCATAGGTGTACTTTTGGTAACTCTATATACAACTGATGTTTATGAAAACAAGATGAACAAGCAGGCCCGCCCTTCCACCAAACGAAGCCCGGGTGGAAGGATCACAAGTTAAAGTATAGTCTAAACTGCAGTGGTCGAACTGCACTCACAAAAACGCAGTTATATCGTAGTCCATCGCCACTCTGAGAATCTAAATTATTTCCATTATTGAGCGCTTTTCTGAAATGCAGACACTACATACTAGTTTTCTATGCAGACCTGTACACACGTAAGTAGTTACGGACTACAGTTGCGACTCCGGTTGAGACTTCATTTTGACAATGGTGTATCAATGGTCGTCAATGTATGTGTAATCTGAAAACGTACACTGTGTCATTAGATACTTTTCACACATTGGCAACTGTAGTCGTAAACTGCTTCTGTCAGAGGACATTCCTTCCAAAGAGCAAACTAGGGCACTTTGCTGATCCATAGTGAAAATTTAGTTCAACTGTAGTTTGACTAGAGAGACCGACGGGCCGGGGCCCTTTCGCACGACATCAAGCTACTGCGCCTCGAGAGCGACGATGTCGCAGTAGGTTGGTGGTCAGCGTAACGGACTCCCAGCGTCGAGGTCCAAGGTTCAACTCCCGTCGGCTTCAGTTCCGAGATCGTCATTCGGTAAGGTAAGTCAAGGTAAAATAACAAGCAAATACGATTGCGAACAGATATAGGCACGAAGAAAGGAGAGAGAAAGGGGAAAATCCTTTTGGCAAGAAATTTTTCAACTGTATTTAAACTGCAGATGAAACATTAGATTAGATTATAGGATATCACATCCAAGAAGGCCCGACCATTTCAGTCTCGCGATTTACTGAAGTGCATGATCAAATAAATAATGTGACCGGTAAATCACTTTGCATATTTGAGTAGACTAAAGAGTCCGGCGGGGGGCCTGCGGCCCTAGAAATTTTCCCCCTGGACATGACAAGAGACTGTAACGGGGCATTAGCAACACCGTGACTACACCCCACCCTTCTGCTTTGCTCAAGAATTAAAAAAGGTGAACCAGTGCAGTTTTTAGCCCGCCCTTCTGCTTTTAAAAAAGCATTAAAGCGGGCTTATGCA